AAAAAAAAAAAAAAAAAAAAGGAATTTCGGCATCTTTTCCACAAAACTGGGGTGCTGGTGGGGCATGGTAGCTCATGCCTGTAATCCCCCCAGCACCTTGGGAGGCTGAGGCAGACAGATTGCTTGAGACCAGCCTGGGCAACATGGCGAGACACTGTCTCTACCAAAAAAAACACAAAAATTAGCTGGGTATAGTGGTGCACGCCTGTGATTCCAGCTACTCGGGAGGCTAAGGTGGGAGGATCACTTGGGCAGGGAGGCAGAGGTTGCTATGAGCTGAGATCGCACCAGTGCACGCTAAGGGCATCCTAGACCTCAGTTTGGGCAACAGAGCCAGACCCTGTCTCAAAACAACAACAAACAAAAAACCTGGGGACCTAGGATGTCTTTAAGGGCCCTTTAGCCTCTAACAGTACTTAAACCAATTAAAAGACTCCTGTTAGTTACCTCCCCACCTCTCCACCTGCAGGAGGCTCCGTGATGAGCAGCTAGCTGGCTATCAGCTGTGGATCACCAAGATTGCATGGAGTGGGGCTGAGCTGACCAAGGGGGATGAGGGCCGGGGCCTGCAGGGAGGGGGCAGAGCCACTCACCTAACAATAGCTGTAGTGTGTAGAAGATGCAACCAAATATGCTGTTGGATTGATTGAGGATGCTGTCCGGTCCCAGCACATGCTCCACCAGCCCGAAGCCCCTGCCCCACCTGGCAGAGGAGTGGTGTGGGGGGGTGGAACCAGGTTAGGAATGTCAACCTAGTGCCTTGGACCCTCCCCGGGAAAGGTGATTTCCAAGAAGCCACCTGGGTTATCCTCTGTTCCCCACCTCCTATCCCAGTCCAAGGGTCGATGACCTCCAGTCAGCAGACACTTTTGGCCACGTCAGGATTCCATGTCACTGACCCTATCCTCCCCTCTCCCCAGACCAGGCCTGACGTGGCTACTTGGTAGGCCCTGCTTTTCATCTAGACCTTAAGTAATTCTTTTTTTTTTTTTGAGACAGAGTCTCGCTCTATGGCCCATGCTGGAGTGCAGTGGCGCGATCTTGGCTCACTGAAACCTCCGCCTCTCGGGTTCAAGCGATTCTCCTGCCTTAGGCCCCCAAGTAGCCGGGATTACAGGAGCCTGCAATAGCGCCGGGATAATTTTTCTATTTTTGGTAGAGACAGGCTTTCACCATGTTGGCCAGGCTGGTAAACTGACTTCAAGTGATCCAGCCGCCTCGGCCTCCCAAAGTGCTGGGATTACAGGAGTGAGCCACCGCGCCCGACCCTTAAGTAATTCTTAAAATAGCAAGGCTAGTATAACGGTTCACTCGGTTTTGCATCAGAGACTGGGAGTCGGCGGCAGATTATCTTTGCCCTGGACCCCAGAATCTCCAGTTCCCTGGCCACGCACTCGCCTCCTCGGTATTCCGTCATTATGCTAACGCCTGGCCATCACGCACAGCCAGACTGGGCCACCTTGTTCCCGGGCGCAGCCATCGCCAACCCCCCTTCACCTGCACGCCGTTCTTGAGACCATCGTCAATCTCTGCCGCCATCCTGCCTCCCCGCCTTTCCCGGTCACCGTTATTCCTTGGCATCCAACTCACATGCGAGTCCCCGGAATAATCCCAGTCCCCAGCACTGTCTGGTCCCTTGCCTCGCACTCTTAATTCGAACACCAGTATCTCTGGGTAGCTCAGCCCCCGTGCAACGACCGCGCGAGCAGTCCAGCCCCTTGTCCGTTCCCTGGGCACACCGATCCCACACTCCAGAATAATCATCTGGCAATCTGGCCGCCCTGCTCCGAGGCCCCACGCCTCCCACTCCCGTGCACACCTGGAGGAGAAGACGCGGGAACAGCTGATGGCGGTGCCCACGTCGCAGAGCGCGCGGTAATCCCTGTCCCGGGCGCGCGCCGCCTTCACGTGCAGCGCGTAGAGCGAAAGCACTAGGCCGGCCAAGCAAAGAGCGAGCCGCACCCAGCCAGGGTTCTCCCAGGTGCTGCCCATTATCTCCAGGTTACGTCCGAGGCGCCAGCAGAGAAAACCAGCCACGGAGCAGAGGCGGGGCGGGGAATGGCCACGCCCCTCCTGCCCCTCTGACTTGGCGATTGGCCGGCCGGGTTCGCACTCCGCGATCCAAACGGCTGTTCCCGGGAGCTAGTCAGGCGAGAGAGTTAGGAAAACCGCTAAGAACGCCCAGATTGGTGAGGCGGGTAAGGGACGTGGGGAATCGCGGCCCCAGCGGCTGCCAGGCATGATGGGAGTTGTAGTCGGGGCGGCTGCAAGGCGTCAAGGGAAATGACGTCTCCAGAGATTTAAAAACTGTTTTGGCCGGGGGCGGTGACTCACGCCTGTAATCCCAGCACTTTGGGAGGCCGAGGCTGGCGGATTACCTGAGGTCAGGAATTCGAGACCAGCCTCGCCAACATGGTGAAACCCCGTCTCTACTAAAAATACAAAAATTAGCCGGGCATGGTGGCACACGCCTGTAATCCCAGCTACTCTGGGGGCTGAGGCAGGAGAATTGCTTGAGCTGGGGAGACGGAAGTTGCAATGAGCCGAGATCGTGCCACTGCACTCCAGCCTGGCCGACAGAGTGAGGCTGTCTCAAAAAAAAAAAAAAAAAAAAAAAAAAAAAAAAAATTGCGTTAATGTGGCTAACAGCATTTGCGCCTACCCTATGCCAAGTCCTGTTGTAAGAACTGGAGCATCCAGGACCTAGAGACCAGAGGATCAGGGGATCCAGCGAATACGTCGATCCGATTCGGGAACCAAGCATTTCCCCTGAAACTATTTCAGGCACCATTCGGGCTGCAGCCTCGCATCCTCCCAGGTCCTGCCTCACCAGCGCTTCTTGCCGGTGGGTCTCTCCCTTACATTCACAGAACCACTCCTTTGGCCACACACACCCTTGACAGTATCCTAACCTCTCTACTATCATGGCACCTGCCTGACAACACCTGAGCTTGGATCAACTCAACAGTCAGTCTCTCCTTTCCAAGCTGTGGGCCTGCTGAGGTCTTTCCTTCACAGACATCCCATCTGATGGTGACCCATCTCTCCTACACCTTCAACCTCTCCGTCCTCCCCATCTACATTGCAACTTGTTTCTCTTTCCCATCTCAGAAACAGCAACACATCTCCCTTCACTAAGAGGTCCTTCACCAGCCTCCCCTCCCTGCATTATCCCATCTACTCCTCCACAGTCAAGTTTTTGGAAAGATTCTACACTCCCAGTCTCTATTTCCTCACTTCTTCCTCACTGCCCACGCCATAAACTAGCTGCTGCCTCCAGCACTGCCCTGACACCTAGTGGCTGGTGTCACCAAGACGCTAGACCCAGTGGTTATTGATTTATTAATTTACTTATTTTGAGACGGAGTCTCACTTTGTCACCCAGGCTGGAGTGCAGAGGTGCCATCTCGGCTCACTGCAACCTCCGCCTCCAGGGTTCAAGTTTTTCTCCTGCCTCAGCCTCTCGAGTAGTTTGGACTACAGGTGCCTGCCACCACGTCCAGCTAATTTTTGTATTTTTAGTAGAGACGGGGTTTCACCATGTTGGCCAGGCTCATCTCAAACTCCTGACCTCAAGTGATCCACCCACCTTGGTCTCCCAAAATGCTAGGATTACAGACGTGAGCCACCGTGCCCGGGCAATGGTTGTTTTTCAGGTCTTCTCTTGCTTGACTTCCCAGAGGGATCCCTTACTGTTGCACACACCTTCCTGGGAACTCTCTCTTCCTCTGGCGTCTGTGATATTTCCCTCTCCTGCTGGCTCCTCCCTCTCCAGATGCTCTTTCTCACATCTACTCTCTTCTAGAGAGTGTGGTAGACAGAATAATGGTCTCCAAAGATGTCCCTGCATGAATCCCTGGAACTTGTGAATATGATAGGTTAAATGGCAAAAAGGAAATTAAGGTTGCAGATGGAATTAAGCTGACCAATCTCCTGATTTGATTTGATTTATTTAATTTCTTTTGTTTTTGAGGCGGAGTTTCACTCTTGTTGCCCAACTGGAGTGCAATGGCATGATCTCTGCTCACTGCAACCTCCACCTCCCAAGTTCAAGCGATTCGCCTGCCTTAACCTCCCGAGTAGCTGGGATTACAGGCACCCGCCAGCACACCTGGCTAATTTTTTTAAGTTTTAGTAGAGACGGGGTTTCGCTATATTGGCCAGGCTGGTCTCGAACTCCTGACCTCAGGTGATCCGCCCACCTCAGCCTCCCAAAGTGTTGGGATTACAGGCATGAGTCACCGTGCCCGGCCTATTTATTTATTTATTTATTTTTGAGACGGAGTTTTGCTCTTGTTGCCCAGGCTAAAATGCAATGGTGTTATCTCAGCTCACCGCAACCTCCACCTCCCGGGTTAAAGTGATTCTCCTGCCTTAGCCTCCTGAGTAGCTGGGATTATAGGCATGCACCACCATGCCCAGCTAATTTTTTGTATTTTTAGTAGAGATGGGGTTTCTCCATATTGGTCAGGCTGGTCTCAAACTCCTGACCTCAGGTGATCCACCTGCCTGGGTCTCCCAAAGTGCTGGGATTATAGGCGTGAGGCACGGCACTAGGCTCTATTGATTTATTTTTATTTTTATTTTTGAGATGGAGTCTTGCTCTGTTGCCTAGGCTGGAGTGCAGTGGCACAATCTTGGCTCACTATAACTTCCGTCCCCCGGGTTCAAGCCATTCTCCTGCCTCAGCCTCCCCAGTAGTTGGGACTACAGGCACATGCAATCATGCCTGGCTAATTTTTGTATTTTTAGTAGAGACAGGGTTTCACTATGTTGGCCAGGCTGGTCTCGAACTCCTGACTTTGTGATCTGCCCACCTCAGCCTCCCAAAGTGCTGGGATTACAAGTGTAAGCCACCGTGCCCAGCATATTTTATTTGTTTAAAGACCCTTGACACACAGGCTGAAGTGCAGTGGCACTGTCATAACTCACTGCAACCTCTGCCTCCCAGGTGCAAACTATTCTTGCACCTCAGCCTCCCTAGTAGCTAGGAGTGCAAATACGTCCCACCACACCTGGATAATTTATTTTTATTTTTGTAGAGACGGGGTCTCACTTTGTTTCCCAGGCTGGTCTAAACTTCTGGTTTCAAGCAACCTTCCTGCCTCAAAGTGCTGGGAGTACAGGCATGAGCCACCACCACACCTGGCCTAATTTGCTGATCTTTATTTATTTATTATTATTTATCTTAATTTTTATTTTGAGACAGAGTCTTGCTCTGTCAGCCTCCCAAGTAGCTGGGATTATAGGTGCCCACCACCATGCCCAACTAATTATTGTAATTTTTTTTTTTTTTAAGTAGAGACGGGGTTTTACCATGTTGGCCAGGCTGGTCTTGAACTCCTGACCTCAAGTGATCCGCCTACCTCAGCCTCTCAAAGTGCGGTGATTACGGCTGTGAGCCACCGTGCCTGGTCCAATTTTTGTATTTTCAGTAGAGATGGGGTTTTGCCATGTTGGCCAGGCTGGTCTCGAACTCATGACTTCAGGTGATCCACCTGCCTCCGCCTCTCAAAGTGCTGGGATTACAGGCATGAGCCACCGCGCCTGGCCCACAAGGGTCCTTAAAAAATGAAGGAGGATGGCAGAAGAGAGTCAGAGGGAGATGTGAGTAAAGAAAAAAGACACAGAGAGCTGCAATGTTGCTGGTTTGAAGATAGAGGAAGGGGGTTGTGAGCTAATAAATACGGGTGGCCTCTAAAGGCAAGAAAAGATAAAGAACTGGATTCTCACCCTAGAGTCACCAGTAAGGAACTATCAACATCTTGATTTCAGCCCAGTGAGACTCTGTCAGACTTCGCTACAGAACTATAAGATAAATTTTTGTTGTTTTAAGTCATTGAATGTGTAGTAACTTGTTACAGCATCAATTAGAGATGAATACAGAGGACTGGGCATTAGGCCTGTATCTCAGCTTTCTCTGGTTTCCTGGTGTGTTCCTGTTATTTATTGTTGGCTTCCCCCCAGAATGAGTGATCTAAGAGGAAGCAAAATAGAAGCTGCAATCTCCTTATGACTTAGCCTCAGAAGACACGCACTGGGGCCGGGTGCAGTGACTTATGCCTATAATCCCAGCACTTTGGGTGGCTGAGGCAGGAGGACAACTTGAGCCCAGGAGTTTGAGACACCCTGGACAACACAGTGAGACCCTGACTCTACAAAAAATAAACAAAATTAGCCGGGTGTGGTGGTGTGCACCTGTAGTCCCTTTGGGGAGGTGTGCATCTGTAGTCACTTTGGGAGGCTGAGACAGGACAATAACTTGAGCCCAGGAGTTTTGAGACAGGTCTGGGCAATGTGGCAAGACTCTGTCTTTATAAATATTTTTAAAATTAGGCGGGGCATGGTGGCTCATGCTACCTGTAATCCCAGCACTTTGGGAGGCTGAGGTGGGTGGATCACCTGAGGTCAGGAGTTTAAGACAAGCCTGGCCAACATGGCGAAACCCCATCTCTACTAAAAATACAAAAATTAGCCAGGCATGGTGGCGGGCACCTGTAATCCCAGCTACTCAGGAAGCTGAGGCAGGAGAATCATTTGAACCTGGGAGGCGGAAGTTGTAGTGAGCCAAGATTGCCTTCCTCACTTCAAGAGTTATAAAAGATTTTGACCATATTTTCTTTCCTTTATTTCTTTATTTTTTGAGACGGGATCACGGAGTCTCGCTCTGTCACCCAGGCTGGAGTGCAGTGGCGCAATCTCGGCTCACTGCAAGCTCCACGCCATTCTGCTGCCTCAGTCTCCCGAGTAGCTGGGACTACAGGCGCCCACCACCACGCCCAGCTGATTTTTTCTATTTTTTAGTAGGGATGGTGTTTCACCGTGTTAGCCAGGATGGTCTTGATCTCCTGACCTTGTGATCCACCCGCCTCAGCCTCCCAAAATGCTGGGATTACAGGCATG